CTACTCAGGGTGGGAATGGGGGGTGGTAAGGGAGAGGGTTTATTTGTGGGCATCTCAGGTAATTATTTTTAATATTTTTGTTTTGTTTCTTTTTCGTCATTTCTTTTCATTCGTCAAAATTCTATTGGTGGCAGTGACAGCGTGGTATCAGCATTTCTTTTGATAGACAAGTCATGAGCAAGAAAATGTGTTAAAAGGTATTCATGCATACAATTTAATCTACTCTACCTCTTTTTTAGCATTCTTTTGATCTTTTAAGCTCTTGATGGCCACTTCCTCTGATGTGCTCAAATTCACAGCCCTGACAACACTGGAAAAGCCTCCTTCTCCAATCCTCTCCTTGATGAGGTAGCGAGTGGTGCTGCTGCACAAAATGATGCTCTTTGGCTTGTTAGATTTCTCGACTTCAGTCATTTCATCTGTGACAAAGAAGGAGAACATGTGAAGGTTACAATGTGGAGTCAGCAGAGGCAGGGGTGAAATAAAATCAAGTTGATGAGCGCACAGAAAGAATTGAGAATGTGAACATTTGATTCTCTGGAGTTTGGCCCAAGTTTCTATTAGAGGTAATTCATTACTGTGCAGTTGCTGATTGAAGGTTTCTCAAGGAAAGCAAAATTATTATTATTATTATTTTTCAGAGTGACAATGTACATGCAAATAACTTTAAACATAGAAAACCACAGCCAAAATATCACCCTGTTGCAAATATTTAGCAAAACAAATGTTTTGCTTTGCGTCTGAGCCTCTCGTTGAAACACAAACAACGTTTAAGTCACTAAAACTGAGATTTTTACCCCCTAAAACTGTAGACTTTCTAAAAAGCAGTGATGTCTCAGCTTACATCGCACATGCCCACTGTTGCTTGGAGCTAAGCGTTGATGTCAATTTTATCGCCACCTACTTGGCCTGACACGCTTGTTTGAACATTTGTGGTCATTTTTAAAAACAGGACTTTTTTTGMTTTCATGGAAGGGAAAATCTCCATTCAAGAAAATATTTGATGTAGTGCAGACAAGACCGATCAACGCCAGTAATACATGCATATCTTACCACATGGAAATAAATYAAATATCCCAAATGTTCACATATGGTTCTCACGTATGTAGATGCTTCTTATACATGAAAACAGTCTCTGTGTGCGGGATATGGGAGGTGAAGCTGCAATCTTTTGTTGTTTTGCCCCCAGTGTTGTTTATCCATGGGATCCTTCTGAGAACCAAACACACAGCTTTGAGCTTCCTGATCATCACTTCCACATGTGAGTCAAACAGAGAAGCAGCCTCTCTTTCAGTTTG